ATGTTCATGTCATCTGGTTGTTGGTTTGTACCTTCTTTCTTTTATTGGAATATTTCTTATGCCAGGTGCTGTGCTAGCATTGCGGATACTGTGGTGATTTGAACAGTCCCTACCCTCAGGGACACTGGAGTGTGAATGGGTGGGGGACAATAATAAGCCAACATACTGAGTTCTATTAGTTGAGTCTATGGAACCACAAGGTGATGAATGACTAAGTTGGCCTCCTTCAGTGTTAATGATGGAAACTGAGGCACTCAGGGGCTACAAGTACCACATAGTCCTGGGTTACTCAAATAGAGACAGAGTCCTAACTACTCCTTTCCTTTTGCCTCAGAGAGTGTTAAGACATTGACTAAGACAAAGCGTATGATTTTTTGTGTGACCTTCATGTTCAGTGGCATTTTATGAATCATGAGAGTTAGTTAAAACTAACCCTTTTGTTTAACAGCTCTTAAATCACCCACAAGTGGGTGAGATGCTGCATTATGAGGGATCCACAGGAATTAAGATGGAGCAGCAGATTCCTGGGTCCTATGTCATATCCTTTGTTCATACGTTCCATGAATAGAGTTGGTGTCAGAAGCACCTGTATTTGACTCCCTCACCCCCTTCTGTTCTCAGCTCTTAAGTTAAAATGTGGATTGGTCAAATATACATATGATGTCATTCCGTTGTACTCATGTTGCTCTTTTTAGAGTGCCAGTGGGTAGTTGTAAAATAATGATCCATTTAGGAAGTGTGGCTGTTGGGCAGTTAGCAGGTCCCTGTTAACAGTTCTTTTTGGAGTTTATTATGGTGTGGCTAGGAAGAGTTTCAGAAAAAGAGGAACGTCTACAAAAGTGTTAATGATGGAAACTGAGGCACGTAGGGGCTACATGATATACAGTAGATTTTCAGCGACAAGAGTTCCCTTCTCTCTTTCCTTTTTGGCATTCATTTAGGTCTGGGATTGTTCCCTTGAACCAAACTTCCCAAAAAAATACGAAAATTATTGAACCTGTGAATATAAGTGTAGGTTTATATAAGTATTAGAAATAGAGGGGTTTGTTACAAATATACATTTTTTATTTAGTCATCTAACGATCCTTTGTAACTTTATTTCCCAAAGGGAACCATTAGGAGAGCACCTTCATTTCTTCACCATCCCATTATCAGTAGGTATTTGGGCACTACAAGGCACATACCACTGTCTAGAGATAATGGACTTGAAAACAAATGAACATCTGGTCATGGTTTTATAGATGACAGAGCACCTTCACTCATTATCTTCACATCTTTACGACAATCCTGTCAGATAGAGTCCCTCCACTCCTTAATGATTTTCCTATGTTGGGATTGTATTTATTATCTCCATTTTACAAATAAAATCTGAGATTCTGAGAGATTAACTACTTCATTCTGGACTGCATGGCTAGTGTGTGAGCCAGGTTTGGAGTATAGATCAGTTTGAGCCTGAATATCATGCCCTACCCTCCCCCCCCCCCCCCCCCCCGCCAATTCTATGTTGTTCTTTATTTACTGAATTGTGTGAAAGTTAACTCCCTTGCTCAACGGAGGGATGAGGAGGTGGACATCAGTTCTACAGATACATTATTCACTTGATTAGATCTTATTATTTGTAATAAGCAGGTGCTTCTTGCTATGTATGTGGAAACCAGATAGATTGGGTGGGACTTAACCAATGCCACACATTTTTAGGACACTCCTAGTGTGTGGCTGATACTCTGAGCCACTAGATACAAGGACAGTTTCCAGGATGAGGTGGATTTTGAGCTGGTCTGGAAGGGACTTGAGGGATAGAATGCCAGAATGGTTATTTCAGTATCCAGTACGGGGAGCTTTTCTCAGCCAGCCCCAGTCTTGTGATTGGAAACTCTCTGCCCATACAGGGCCTCATCTTACAATTGGGTTGTAAAACCAAGGGCCTGTATAACTCTGTGGATTATGTATCTGGTAGCTTCTGGGGTTTGTGTCCTGGCCCTTGTCCAGAGTAGGTAATTCCATCTTGCTGAGTTCCAGTTGACCACATTGCAAGGGCCTGGACACAGAGTTCTTCCCTTTGCAGTAAATGAATAAAAACATGTGAGCATTTAGAACAGTGCCTGTGCTTACTAAGTGGGTGGATCAATTAATGCTAATACTGCATTCCCCAAACATCCAAGGGCTTGTGACTCCCAGCTTTAGTGGTAACTTCAAGGAATTGTCTACAAGACTCTGCTGTCTGTCTTTAAGGCAGCCCACCCCTTTTTGAACAGCTCAACTAGCAGGAACTTTTTTCTCATGTTGAGCTGGAATCATCTTAGAACTTCCACAGAATGGGTCAACACCCTCTCCATGTGACAGCTAGCTCTTCAGAGGATGCTCAGTGTCTAAGAACACTAAGCTTGCAATTATGATTCAAAAAAATCTTACCAGCTTTGAGCCATGTAGGCTAAAATAATGGGATTTATAAATAAACTCCTGTCTTTAGCTCCTAAACCAGTTGCACTAGAGAAGGGAATTCAGGAATAGGAATTGGAGTGTGGGAGCCTAGAGGTTTTGTGGATCCTAGTCAATCTCTGAGCATCATTTATTGAGGGCCATGGACAAACTGGGATGTGTTCATGAGGGTTGAGCCAGGTATTATGTGAATTATGTCTAGTCTGGGACACAGTAGGGCTGCTCCTGTCACATATGCCATGTGCTCCTACCACATATAAATGGGTGTTTGGGTGGGAGATTTGCTTCTGCAAGGGATGGGTTAGTATAGAAGTTAACCTGTACATGGGTCTTAGCCTAGTAGATGGAAGAATTTCAGTATGTCAGTGTGGAGGTAGTGGGTTCCTTGTCATTGTTGATGTTCATGTGTAGATTATATGACCAGTTGAGAAGTGTTAGAGAGGGGACTGCAAGCATTGGATTAGGGCAGTGTTGGGGAGTTTGGTCTGAAGACTCTGAGGCTCTCAGTTACATGGTGATGTTCTTTTTAGGCAAGTAAAGTTCCCCAGTCCCTTTACTGGCCCTCACTGTCCTGGATTCTGTCCCTCTACCATAGCGGTTGCATGCTGAGTACATTACTGTTTTTCTTAAAATGTGGCTCTCTGAGCTGCCCAGAGCTCAAAGACTGGCCTTTGTTTTTTTATGTCTGTTGTTTTGTTTTGGGGGTGGCAGGGTGGGTTGGGGGAGGTTAGGCGGAGAGGTAGACAGCGGATTAGCCACTGCTCAAAGCATTCACTCGTATTCTCATAATTTCTCCAATAAACTGCTTTGGAGCTAGAACAGACTCTAGGGGAGCATACAGCTCAGCTTGAATTTTATAAGACTCTTAGATTAAAAAAAAAAGTAATAATTTTAGAATTCAAAAGGCCCACACTGCAGGCATTGCAGAGTTCATTTGGGGGTTAATCACAAAACCCTTTCTTGTGGCATAATTTATACCTCAACATTTGGCAGTTTTTAAAGTCCGGTGCCAATGTACACGTGTTGGTAAGAAGTAGTAAATATTTTGCTGACAAGTTCTTTGAATGATGGATCTGTGGCAGCATTTAAAGGCAGACAACCTGGGGGTTTCTTTTATCCAGGTGCTGCCAAATCTCAAAAGCTGTCAGGGTACCAAGCCAAAATCACCCACTAGTTATACCATTAATTGTGTAATGTTCTTGTGCCTCAGAGTTTCTGCACCTGGGATCTGTTGATATACACTGGTGGGGGAGGGCAGAGGAAAGGGATACAACGGGGAGGGAGAAAGAAAGAAGACAGGCTGCTCCCTCTCAGGTAACTGCCCTGGAGCACGGAGCAGTCCCTGGTGCCTGGTGGGGCCAGCACCTGCTTCCCTTCTGGCTGCCTCTGTTGTAATGTTGCCTGGACTTGATGGGGGCAGAAGGCAGGGAATGGTAGGCCCACTAAGCTCTCTCTACTGTGACCCTGCCACCTCCCTTCTTCGATCAGTTGCCAGGAACAATTCTCCCCTTTGGGGGGAAGCCTTTGAATTAATGATCTGATGCCTTTTCAACAAAGGAATATTGATATGTTAGTGTGTGGACAGCAGGGGGTACCGGATTAGATCATTTTCACATGGGTGTTTGTGCCAGTTTGACATTCATGTGGAAAGCTTATCCCTTTAAGACCATAGGTTTCATGCATACTTTAAGGGGAATAAACCTTTGAGAAAGATTTCTTTTGGTTCTGTAACCTTCAGTGCTACAGAGAAAGAAATGAAAGTCTCCCCCACAGTTTTCTTATGATCAGGAATTCTGAGTAGGCTTCCAGATGAAGTGCCCATGTAGGTGTAAACCATTTCTTTCTGTAAATGTGCTGGCCTCTTGTAGCTGTTGCAGGGAAGGCAAGAATGGGGACAACTTGGTCCCTGCTTCAAGGTTACAATCTAGAAGCTGAGAGTGGCAACATGACCTGACTGTTCAGGCTCAATGTCCCGCAGACAAATGTTATGGACTGGCAGGTCCAAGTCAGCTGTCATAGTAGAGTGAGTTTTGTGATAACAAAATAATCTCCTTCCTCCTTCTACCCTGCCACCATCTCGCATCTGGGTGATCTCAGTGACAAATATTGGGATGATTTAACATTTCAGAGTTACCATGTCGGGCCACAGTGAGGCAGACATCTTTTGTTTTACTTTATTTTCTTTTAAACAAAATTGTTCTGCTATGGAGATTTGATTATTATTGAGCAGAGTGCTCCTGGTAGATAGGAGGCACTTAGTAAATGGTTTTGCATGGTTCGCTGTGAACTAGCAACTCAGAGTGAGTACTATTCTTGGATGAAAACTTTCTCTAATCTGCGAAAATTATACAGCTGTTGTCCACCATTACATTTCTGTATTGAGTGCCTAGCATGAATACATAAAGAAAAAAAGCCACTTGGATCTCAAAATTCCATATTCTCCGCTAGCAGTTATTCTCAAGCAGATCTGCCAACTGAAGAATGTGCAATGAAACTAGCAAAGAGCAGTATATTGGTGGTTACCTCATCCTTATCACACTATATTTTCATTTCTTTATTAGGTTTATTTTCTTGAAAAGGCTCCAGGCTTCGGCTTGGAAAACCCAACCGCCAAAATTGAGCCCAGCAGCTGGAGCGGCAGCGAGAGCCCTGCCGAAAACATGGAAAGGATGAGTGACTCCGCAGATAAGCCAATTGACAACGATGCGGAAGGGGTCTGGAGTCCTGACATTGAGCAGAGCTTTCAGGAAGCCTTGGCTATCTATCCACCCTGTGGGAGGAGGAAAATCATCTTATCAGACGAAGGCAAGATGTATGGTAAGTGGTCTGGAATGCCTCTCTGAAACGCTGCAACCTGCTTTTGTATTGAAGGGTCATTGTAGCTAGCCTTCTACTTAGATCTGTTCATTATGTTGTGTTGAATGATCTTGGCAGAATTTTAGTTGGCCATCCAAGGGACTAAATCTCAACTCAAGAGGAGAATCAGTAAAGGACAGTTGGGAAATCATTCCCTGGGGGTTTCTTCTCCCTCTCCATGCTCAGTGACATTATATCAAAAGCTCTCTAGGTCCAGGTGGAACATAGATGGATGCAATGGCATTTGAGACACCAGGGTGGGGACTCGTTCTTCAGAACGCATGCCTAATGGAAGCAAGTGCAGCCGCTTACCTCCAGATAACTGAAACAGGGGCCTGCTGATGCCATATAGCTTAATTTTTTTTTTTTCCAGGAAGAGCTAGCAATCTAGATGTTTATATAGGAAAACTCATTTTGAAAAGTCAGCACTCTTTTCTTTTTAACATAACCCTGTATAGACTAGATAAATTATGTGTATGGCTTAATCAGATCCTTGAACCACCTGTTTGCAGCTTCATTGCTGGTTTGCAGTTGAATGGCAGACAGGGCATTAACCCCTCTCCCCAGGCTATTCTCACCCATCTCCCCTTCTAGAAGGGATGCCAGGCAGTGTGTTCTGAAGGAAACCCCATGAGTGTCCAAGAGGACAAGACTGGTTGACCAGATGGCTTAGGATACCAAACTCTGTAGCTGGCCTGCTAGGGTTGGGCATTCCCCAGTCCTTCTGTTAATGCTTTTTTGGCTGCTTACCTTTTGGGAAGCAGATGGCAGGTGGTTGCTTGTATATTCTGCTTGTCTAATTGAGCACATTGAGTTGACAGAGTTTGCACTATAGCTGAGTCTAAAGAGATGCAAACAACCTAAACTCAAAGAGAACTGGCTTAGCAACCTACCTGAGGTTAACTTATCACAAGAGTGATTTATTTCTAAATAATTTGAAAGCTTTTCATAATAGGCTGTTGTACCTTTAATACTGTGCCTCCTCTATCAGGAGCCGTAGGAGGCTGCAACTCAAACTAGCACACACTGCTAAGGAGAAAGCAGATGGTGGTGCAGCTGCCACCAGCTGTGCCCCCACTCCGCCCTCCCTGTCTCCAACTTGGATGATGTAATGGAAACGAGGAAAATTTTGCTTTCTGCAACATTAGAGTCTCTAAGCCTGTTGTGTTCTCTCTCTCTCTCTCTCTCTCTCTCTCTCTCTCTCTCTCTCTCTCTCACACACACACACACACACACACACACACACACAAGGGTGGGGGGTAGAAATGGGAGAGAGAACCCAAACCTTCAGAATTTGTTTTATGCTCTCATGTAATCCTTTGTAGCCAGAGAAGCTTCATTGGGTCTGCTGAAATGGACCCAGGATGAAACATCACAGCTGCTGTGGGTAGAAAGTTTCAGGGCCTTTGATTTTATGTGTGTTTGTATCTTTCCTGATCTATTCGTCCTAGGCCTGGCTGTTTGTTTTCAGGGTCTTATCTTCATACCTAAAAATGAAACCTCCCCATTTTAAAGGCAGAGAAAAGCACTTTAATCTTCAAGCCTTCTTTGAAACTGATTTTATTATGGGTAGTGAAGGTGGTTTCAGACTACTTTACCTTATACAACTCCCATTTGTTTATCCAGAAATTGCTGTAACCTAAAATATTGGCCTACTATTGGAAATCCTGGTGGAGAATAACGACAGCCCTTTATTTGTCACAGGGGATACTGGGAAAGGCACTGTCCCTTTAGGTTTCAGGACTAAGGACATAATTCAAAGCAAAAGTTTATCTTTTCAACTTCAGTTTTGTTTTCTCCATTTGAGTGTATTTTTTTAGGTACCAGCCATGGTAGATTTAACCATTTTGCTGATAACCTCATCATAATTACACTGTTTTGTGAAAATAATGGTGTAAGAGGGCTCGTTGGTAATTGGATGTCAGGGGCAGCTGGTTAGGAAATAGAATGGTGAGGAGTTTTAAATTTGAGTCATCTACTGACAGTGAACTCAAACAAGCCTACCTTTGGTCTGCATCTCAGTTTTTCTCTCCTGTAAAAAAAAAAAAAAGGGTAGAGTAGATGATGTCCATGGGTCCTTGGGACTTTGCCATTTTGTGATGCTGTGATTTTGTGACTTGTACCGCAGTCAGTTCATTGACCAACATGGTGCTAGTTGTGGGAGCACATCTTTAATACCCATGGTCGTCAGATTCTGAGGGCTTCTTGAGAGCACATGCTCTGTATGGATAGTCCCCCCCCCCCCCAAAGACCTCCCTCCCCCCCACACACACAGATACACACAAATCAGCCTTACATTTATTGACTGTGTTGGTGACCAACCTGACTTAAAAATGGGTCATTTTTGAGTGAGCAGCATTAGGGTTGTGTATCCTGATATGGGGGTGCAGGAGATGCATTTGCTGCGGTCCTGAAGTCACTGTACTCCATGCATCTGCCTTGGAGAGAAAACATCCCCCTGAACTTTGCTTCTACTGCTACTTCAGAAGGAAATAGCCATGGGAGATGGAACCTGGACCCCTTAAGAGGGGCTGCCCCAGGTGCCCTGGAGCTGCCTGTGACCTGCTCGTGACTTTGAGGACGAGTAAAGGTTGAGTTGGGAGCCTCCACAGTGAGGCCCCAGCCACTTGGGTATTGAGTCATGTGAGCACTGTGGGCCAGAGCTACTGTTCCTTGGCTTTCGGCCTGTTCCCCATCGTACCATAAGTGAATCAGGACACAAACCAGACCAGGAGTCGAGGTTTCTTAAGGTCCAGAGCGCATACTTTCTCTCTTAAGCATTTTGTAAATGAAAACATTGAAAGCATTTTGGATTCCATGGAGTAAAATCAAAATAATTTAATGCCTTTTAGTGGAATACCAAGTGTTTTTGACTTGAGGGGGTTATTCTGATATTTCTGAGCATTTGTAGAGTGCATTGTGATGTCACTAATCCTGAGCCATGGGAAAAGCAAGGTCAAGTGCAGCACTGATTTATTTTGGTAATGAAATTTCCTCTTTGGTTGGCAGTAGGGCAAATGCAATCTTATAGACAGAAAGAACCGAAAGCTCTCTTTATGATGAGGTTTGGGCCATCAAAAGGCTGACTTCCTTCTCTGCTCCCTTGTCTGGGGAAGCTGAGTCTTTATATGGTTGGTCCCCATGTGGACAGATTACTTCTGTCTTGGGCACCCTATGTGTAGACGGGTAATTAGGGATAATTAAGAAGAGGATGCATACTCATTCTCTCTTTTTCTCTGTGTTTTCCTTTCTGGTTGTACTTCTTTTAATTTTTATTGAATTTATTGGGGTGACATCTATATATATAAAGAAGTAATGTGCATATTAGGCCAGGACGCCATAACGGTCACGATCAGCTCAGGAGGAGGGGCCAGGCACAGCCCAGAGCCTGAGAGAACTACACACAGGGGAGCAGCGTGGCCCCCAGCAGCCCCAGAGCAGAGGCAGGGGGTTGTGTCCAAGCCACCGCCGCCACCTGGCCCCAGCAGCTCCGGAGCGGGTTGTGTCCAAGCCGCCACCGCTGCCCGGCTCCAGCAGCCCCAGATCTGCCCGCAGAGGGAGGCCAGACTGCGGCTTAGGCCCGTTCCCCGTGGGGAGCGGGCCTAAGCCGTCAGTAGGACATCCCCTGAGGGCTCCCAGACTGTGAGAGGGGGCAGGCTGGGCTGAGGGACCCCCTCCCCTCCTCCACTGGGCTTCTAGTTGGTTAATAATATTATATAGGTTTCAAATGTACAATTCTGTAACACATCATCTATAAATTGTATTGTGTGTTCACTACCCCAAGTGAAGTCTCCTTCTGTCACCATTTATCTCCCCCTTTACCTTTCTATTTTGTCCCACCCCCCTTTCCCTCTGGTAATCACCATACTTGTCTGTGTCTATAAGGGTTTTTGTTTTTGTTTTTTTTTTTTTTGCTTAATCCCTTCACCTTTTTCACCCAGCACCCCCAACCCTCTCCACTCTGACAGCTGTCAGCCTAGTCTCTGTATCTATGAGTCTTTTTTGTTTGTTTATTAATTTTGTTCATTAGATTCCACATATAAGTGAAATCATATGGTATTTATCTTTCTCTGACTGGTTTATTTTATTTAGCATAACACTCTCCAAATCCATCCATGCTGTCACAGAAGATAAAGATTTCCTTTTTTATGGCTGGGTAGTATTCCATTGTGCAAATTACCACAGCTTTTTTTTTTTTTTTTTTAACATGTCTTTATTGATTTTTAGAGAAAGAGGAAGGGAGAGGAATAGAGAAATAGAAACATCAATGAGAGAGAAACATCATCAAGTGGCTGCCTCCTACATGCCCTCCACTGGGGATCAGGCACACAACTCAGGCATGTGTTCTGACTTGGAATTGAATTGGTGACCTCTTGGTTCATGGGTCAATAATGCTCAACCACTGAGCCACACCGGCGGGGCTACCACAACTTTTTTATCCACTCATCTACTGATGGACACTTGGACTAGTTCTAAATTTTGGCTATTGTAAATAATGCTGCAGTAAACATAGGGGTGCATATATCTTTTGAATTAGTGTTTCAGGTTACTTCAGATATATTTCCAGAAGTGGGATCCCTGGGTCATAAGGCAGTTCCATTTTTAATTTTTTTAGGAACCTCCATACTGTTTCCCACAGTGGCTGCATCAGGAATGCCTGAGTGTGTGTCTGTGGCAACTGAAAACCCTGGTCTAGTTATGTAGTCACATATCTCCCATCATCAAACCACAGTAGGGACAGGAGATAACGTTCATCGATTGCTTGCTTTAGAGAAGGAAAAGTGTAGCACTTCAAATCTTGGACTTTGAAATTGATATGAATCCTGGCCCTGCCATTTGTTGATATCAGATGTTGGGCAAGTTGCTTTTCTTTTGTGTGCCTCCATTTCCTCCATTGCAAAAGGGATTTAAATAGAGCCTGTTTCAGTGGATCAATATAAGAATTAAAACTAATTGTGATC